CCTTTGACCATCCTCTGATTTATGGGAGAGCAGGAACACCCACACTTTCACCCACTGCAGGAAAACTTTTCATTGCTGTTTTTTGTTTAGTTTTGAGATGGGTACAGACTTGACCTCCCAGACTTTGCAGGAGAATGCCTCCCCACTCCTCTCCTTGCTCCTTCTTATAGCAGCAGCTCCTGGCTGTAGGTGCAGGCATATAAGGAGAGAGGTAGCCGCCTGGGCATGAATCACTGCCTGAACACCCAGTCCCCCCATCTTCTGAGGAAAGGGGAATGGAGGGCACCGGCAGAATTTTAGCTGACCTGCTAGAAACAGTTGGATCATGCTGTTTAACAGAAAAATGGCTTCAGTCTGCAATTAGGCATGGCTCTGATTTCTAATAAGGAATTTAATGGTGCCTCTCCCAGAGGATCTAGGAGAGTAAAGAGGAGGGGGTGAGAGTAGGAGATACCTAAATAGTTTAGAAATTATTTTTAAAATCCCTGTTCAGCAGAAACTAGCTAAAGCAGAGTATGATTTGCTAGCTAAACAGTATTTGCTTAACAAGACACTTATTTGTGCACATTACTGCTATTAAGTAATCAATACACCTGGGTGCAAGGCTACACACAGTTTATTGTTCCTCCCCTTGCTTTGCTCTGACTCAGCACTGGATCTGTATGATTGTGCGGGTATTACCCAGGCAGCTAGAAAGTTTCTTGTGATAAATAGTGGTGTAGCCAAGGGAAAAAAAAAAAAGTCAGGCATATTTTTCACTGTCTGACTCTTACAAGGTTGGGGGTTTTTTTCTATTTAACTAGAACCTCAGACTGGTGCTTCTCTGCAGTCCAACTCTTTGCACCACCTACTGCCTTCAGGAACCCGTCTAACAGATGATTCATCTTTCAGCATGTTCACACCTGCACAATCACCATAAGTGGAAGAAATTTCCTCTGTTCTACAGCAAACAGTGGAAAGGATTGTATTTACCTTTCTGCTCAAAACCAGAAAACAGTTGCTTTCAGAGCAGGTTATGAAACTCCCAACACCTCAGGTCAGGAAAAGTTTGTGTCACGCGAAGGCGACCATGTGCTGTCGGTCCCCACAGCCAGTTAGTTAATAGAGCTGTGATAGTCCTGTCTTTGAGATCCAGTTTTCCTCAAACAGTGTCTAAACCATAGCACGCTTTCCTTTGCAAAAGAAATAAATTTGAAAGCCTAAAAATTATGCAGGCCAGCTTCTCACCTGATGTTGTGATGAGATGTACTATTTTGCCCTGTGTCTAGCTCCAGGCAGCCAGCACACAATTAGAAGAAACAGCAATCCTTGTGCACCAGCGCATCATCCGGGCACTAATCGAAGACATTAAGAAAACTCCCCTCCTGATGCGGTACCAAACACAGGTGACTTTCACCCTGCTCTGAAGCATCCCTTTAGGCCTGCGTCCAGCAAGGTGAGCTCAACCTACTCACTGATTTCACTGGTACGAATTACTGTCTAAAATTAGGCACATACTTAAACGCTTTGTCGGGCTCAGGCTCCTGGATTAACTGCAGAGTTAGTCTCTCCCAGCACTGCACTCGACAGCGAGCTCCTTCCCACTCCGTCCCCACCCATCCGAGTCTTCAGGGAATGTTGCCATGGATTTCCACAGGACACAAAAGAGTCCATATTGGAAGAACCCTGTTAAGGTTGCTAGGCGTAAATATTGACTTAACGGCTCTTCCGCCTTTTTTCTTTTTTAAGAACAGATTTGTTGGCCATGGCTGGAAAAATAAAATGCTGGAGTATGCATGATTCACTCTGGCACTCACACAAACATGCAGATCAGTTGGCTGGCAGCTCGCTCTTCTGTTAGCAGAACATCGCTTCTAAAATGTGTCATTTTGTTTTGGCAGCAAGAGCGTCCAAGCCCGCAGAGAGAGAGATAAAAATCTCCTACCTTCCATGTACTTCACATGGGGACTGCTGACCTTCCCCAGCACAGAACATTTGATTAATACTTCCAACAGCTTTTTGGCTGAGACACGCAGAAGGACTGACAGGGTGCTGCAATCGTTTCACACTAAAAGCCCAGCCCAGAAACCTCCCTTCTTGGACCCGCTCTCCTGGATCTGCTGACACAAGAAAGGACTGCAAAAAGAACTGCAGGTAAAACTTTTTATTCGAAAGTCTTTTGAATAAAGGCTGTTTCGCAGACAACAAATATTGAGACAGAAGATACTTAAGGTCACACAGGAAGTCAGCAGCAGAAGTGAGAGGGGACCCAAGGGTTTTGGTCATTGGAATGATGCTTTCACCACAAGGTTCTACTTTCTATAGTACTCCATGCACAGACTTTTAATCCCAAATTTAAAGAATGTTTTTTAAAATACGACTTCAACACATGACATCATCCAAACCTTTTTCCATATTGATTCTGCCAGATCTGGATGATTTGGCAGGATGGACAGGGGGACAAACCTCCTCCAGGGCAGCCTGAAGGTACAAAGTGTGTGTACCAGTTCTGGACACGGCCAGCACAATTCCCGTCTGTCCCTAAAAACCTGCTCACTACACACAGGGGTATGAGCAGCTCATCTGAGAGCTGGCAGAGGCTGCAGGGAGGATATTCAGACTCCACAGTAGAGACCCCAGTTTAACAGACAACCAGGAGAACTCAAGAAGTGTTGTACTTCACAGATGTCTGCCAGAAAGCAAATACCTCATCAGCAGGAAAACAAAAAACTAATGATTGAATACAGGAGGAGAAAGTCGAGTGTCAGACTGACAAGAGATCCTTCTCTAGAGGATCACAAGGAGTTTGCTTGCATTTCAGCTGGGCAGAGTGTCCTTTGGGACTTTTATCCCATTGGAGTTTAAGCACTCCCCAAAGGCATAATGCAAAACCAGAAAGGGAGACCAGGATCAACGCATGTGTATATTTATATTTGCTTTGCATCCATCCTCTGTGGCTCTACACCTTCCTCTCAGGGAACAGGGACCAATTCCTCCTGCCAGGCATCCTCTGTGCACATCCCCTTCAGAAGCGGCAGTTTGGTGCATGGCTTGTTGAGGTTGCGGGACCTCACAGCCATGTAGAGCAGCCCAGGGCTCTGGCATCCTACCCATTAATTAGACAACACACAAACTAGTCATCCGCACTCACTATTAAGCTACCAGAAACAAAAGCAGGACACTTAGATACCTTTGGAGCTTAGCAACAGCTGCTCGGGATCCACTTCACCTCCCTCAAAACTACTGACAGCTTTTGAAGCAGAGAATTCATTGAACAGAGAAACAGGTTGATATCCCCCCTCCTCAACTGTAGGCCGATCCAGTTTGTTATTTTCTAAGCGTTTCCTTGGTGCCACATACAAATTCAATACTGTGTCTGCTAGCAAAGATGTCTATTTTCAGAATACATACAATGACAAGCAAAGTTTGTATTAGCAACAGCTAAGTAGAAGATATCAGGAGATAAAAAGGAAAAATCTCTCTTAAGGTCCTAATGTGCATAAGGACAAGAGACCGAGTAGATCTAATTGTATGAAATTAAGGAATTTTCCACCCACTCACTCTCCTGCCCTTGCAGCTGGAATAGCACAGCCTGGGTCCTGCCTCCTGGTTTCTCGGGAAATTGTTTGTAGAGAACAGAAACGTTTCACAACACAGAGCAAGAAATAACCGCAATGATTTCTCTGCTGTACTAGCTTAGGGTCAAGGCTGATGCAAGGCAGTCCTTACTGCATGCCAATATTGCCGTTCTTATACGTACACATGAGTATCAGGGGACAAACCCATATAGACAAAGACTGTTTCAAGCTGCCAGTTATTGGCCATTATTACCTGGTTATGGAGATGGCAATGGTTGAGGTTTATGACAGGTTCTCAATAACACTACACAGCAAGCCAACATGCTGCATTTATCACCGGGTTTACATTGTACTGACCTGATATGGGTCCAGCAATGGGAAGGCAGCTGCAAATGCTTGTAGCTGTTTGGAGCCCCACTTATGTCCCTCCACTGAAAAGGATCCCCTCTGCCTACTGAGATGGCTGAGTTTGCCCTTGAACCTGCTCCTTTGACTTAGGCTGTCTGAGAATTTAGTTCAGAAGTATCTAGTTAGTTTTAAAGATTTAGGATCAGTTTTGTCACATGGTGCCCAGATGATCAGCTGTCAGCTTCTACATGACCAAGAGCTGGGGCAAGAAGTCCCACTGGGGACAGCAGTGCAGCAGGAATCAGAGTGCCCCAGCCTGACGTAGACTTCTATATAATTGTACTACCTTTAATTCAACAAGACTGTAAGAAGTTTAAAACAAGTTACATGGACCAATCCTAAAGTGACCAATCTCTTTCCATTTCCTAGAAAGAAAGTCAAGGGTGACGAGTTCAGATCCAAGTGTCTCCAGTCAGGTGAGATGAATCCCACCTTCAGGGCATAAGATGAGGAAGAGGTAAGGATCAAGCCTCTAAGGACTACACTGAATTCACAGCAGTCGTGAGCTGACTTTTTCTTATCCATGTATTCCAGCCACGGTCAGGAAAAAATACACACTGTGGACAACCCTGATAAAATAGAAGTGCCCCCCAAAGTCACTTCCAGAAGTGGCAGTCTCCGTGGTACAGGTTACCACCACCTCCTATAACAATCCATAGCATGCCATAGTTTTAGAGCAATTAGTATAGAGACTGTTTTAAGCACTTGGAAATAATAAGCCTGGTCCTGCTCTCCTCAAAGCCAATGACCCAACTGCTGACATTATTAGTGGATAAGGTCTTTTTAAAGCATCATAGGCTTTACTCCAGCCTAACTCCACTCGTTTCCCACTTTGCAGTCATCTGGCTGTATTAATAAAAAAGAAAACCACAGCATTTCTCAAAATGATTTAAGCATCATTTAAACTCAGGTGACCTTGTCTGCCTGTGATGCGCTGAACAACCTGTCAGTCACACTTGTCAATCACTGTTCCTGCTCCTTAAAAGCAGGAGTCTAATTGAAGCGAAGAAGCAGAAATGAAGGTCTGATACCTACTTTCTCAGAACTGCAATTTCATTCTCTATGCTGCTTTCCTTTCCCTTCAGTGCCTTCTTGGGAATGCACTTGACCGCAAAGAGTTTCCCACTCGCTCTCTCTTCAGCCAAAACAACTTCGGAGAACGCACCCCTGAAAGAAGAAAAGAAAAACCCCGGTTTTAAGTGGTGCCTTTTCTTTGGCAGCTGTTAACTGAAACATAACCACCAAATCTGTTTCTTCTAGTGTCTTTTGATAGCTGCTCTTGTTAATCACAGCAACAGCATTATGAGCATCTTTCTTTGCCTTTACAAACCTACGCAGACATTCACAGTCACAATACATTAAAGGCTTACCAAATACAACAATTTTAATAAAGAACCATAGTCCAGCAGAGGTATGAGCAAAGCTTGAAAGTCAGAAAGTACCATTTCCACACACAGGGGCATGGACTGTTGCCCGGCTGCTGATTTGATGGATGATGTACTTTTCCCCTTCCCGAAGTTTTAGGATGTTTAATTCACATAGCAGTACAAAGTCCCTAGGACTAAATGATGCACCAGTGCCAAGAGCGCTCCCGGTTCCTCAGTGACCACAAGAGGTCAGGGCCTCCGCTCTGGTCCTCCCTGGCAGCCCAGAGCATCTCCTCTCCATTGGCTCAACCCTGACTCAGACGGGGAAGCAGCGTCAGAATTTCTCTATGTACACAGAGTTATTCCACAACACAAACTGCTGTGTGTGTAACCGCTAAAGCCAAAGAATCGGATTAAATCACAAGTCCAAACGCTGGACTTAATAGCAGCCCCCCTACAGTTACCCCAGAGAGGATTACACAAATAAAGAAACTTCATCACAGCAGCCAGTAACTAATTGCCAAGAGCGGGCAGTGCCTCTCCTTCATTAGGTTATTCCGTAACAGTGTATTACTTCTTGCACTCTCATCGCTTCCTCCAAAGCATCTGGACCTTACTGGGGAGAAGCCAGGAAAATGTTACAGTCAGTGCTATATACACTTTTCTTCTATTCTCACACTGTTTTCTGAGCATTTGAGCATCATTCAGGCACTGCTGGTCTGGATGGACCCTTGCTCTGGCACACTGGGGCCGCTCATGTTCCAGTGCTCGTTACTGATTTAGCAACAAGGTACTGGGCAAGAAAGAGCATTGGCCTGATGAGGAACAGCAAATCTTTGCTCATATTCACCAAAACCTCCTCCTGAAGCACCCGCTTTGTCCAACAGACATCAGAGCCAAGGACTTGTCTAACCAGATCACAACTGAAGGATTCACCAGCTGAAGGATCATATTTTATTTATACAAAATAAAAAGAGGCAGGACACTTTCCTTCATTTTTTTTCCCCCTCATCAGTAGATTATTCTGCTCTTCTACATAGCTCTCTGTGAAAAGAACTCGGCAGCAGGCTGAGCAAACCCAACCATGCTCCAGCCCGCTCTTAAAATGTTAATGTTTGATCACAGCCTCATTTGGCTACCACCAACTTTCTCTGACTTTCATTCCCCACAACTGCTGCTTGTCTAGATGTTTGTGGATAAACAGAAGCATTTTCTTTCCTAGCCAAGCTCTTCCTTTTTAAGTCACGCACTTTGATGACACAACCAAGCGGCTGTGACCTCACCAACGGTTCCTGAGTTGCGAAATGACCGAATGAATCATTAAGCCAGTGGATAAGTGGATAAGCAAAAGGAAGAGGCTGCTGCTTTGGAAAGAAAGCACCTGTTTACCCAGAAAGGCTTTTGTAGCCAGCAGCAATAGGAAAATGGTGACGGGAAGTTTAGCAACAGATTAAAAGAGACTTTTGCAAACTGTTAGGGCAGATGTTTGACAGCCTATCTACACGTGGTAGTGACCCTCTGAACCAGGAATGTTTTGCCTCAGTTTGGACAGTGGTCCAGACTCTGACCACATTTACGCCACTCTACTAAGTACAGGAACGATTCACTGTTTTCTGCTGTGTGTATAATCTACCACGGCACACCAGAGCATCACGGGCTCCAATTTAGAGTCCACATAATTGGTCCTAATGGCTTGCGCAATAAAGAAATCAAGCCACCCAAAGTGTTTTTAAAGACCTATTCTTCGCTTTCCTATTATCAACAGTCCTAGACATTCGATTCACCAAATGGGGTTTTCACCCTGACCCTCATGCTTGGGACAGCCAGACCAGAACTGCAATAAAATCCTTTTACTGGAAAGCCCTAAGACCTCTCAGTGCTTATCAGCTTTGGTTGCAGACCAGAGTGCTCAGAAACTCACAGGACTGCTCCCAGCTATATTTCATGAACCCCTTAAGTCCCATCTGCTTAAGCTTTCAACACTGCACTTCACTCCAGCTGTGTCTTGAACAAGCTTTTTGCCCTCAGTTAAATGCTGTTAAAAGCAACATATTCATACCAGTCGTTCACTGATCACACGACTCTCCCAATGTTTGTGATACTATAAAAACACAGAGAGCTCCCATCCCGATCTGGATTTCATTGCTGTTCTCAGACAACAAAATAAAGGAAGTCCCCTTATATCCCTCTACACAATAAAGCCAGCTTTGGGAAATGCCACTATTTCAGCTGGCTTCACCATTTTTGCTGGATTTCTTTCTCCACTTACCAGGACAGCCATGGGGTTCAATCGTTGGAAACAGCTTCTGTGAATGTAAATTCACAGAATTTTTTGGGGAGCTCTAAGATACTCATAAAAACCAATTCCATATCTCCTTAATAACCTTTCTCATTAAAGCATTAAATGAGCCAAACCTCAGCTAAAGCATTCGCTCACATGTCAACCCTTGGCACTGACAGGGCGTTTTTTTACATCGAGTTTTATATGAGGCCATGGCATGAAATTGCTGGTGCTGGGAAGAGCCCCTGGGCAATGAGGGGGGAGTGCTGGGGTGGATCTGCCGGGAAGGCAGGAGGGAGACGCGAGGCTATCTGCGCTATCCTGTGCGCTATATATGTCCTTGAGTTCACAGAGCAAGGGAGGGGGAAAAGCAACAAGGCAATGGATAAAAGAAAGGTAAGTAAGTGAAGCGATGGAAGGAAAGAGAAGGGAGGGAACAGATGCAGATAGGGATCAAAGAGTTAAACACCGACTGAGAGGAACGAACGGTATAGGACAAGAAGAAAGAAATGGTAGCAGGGAGCATCAACAAGGAAAAGGCAGCAAAGACACTCCTGGAGTCTGCTGGAATCAGGGGAGAGTCAGAAATAATAGTGTATAGATGGCCAAGCAATTATCATCATTTCAAACACACAACTGAATTCATCCACCCTTAACGATCCAGTCCAGCCCCCACTGAACCCTTCTTGACTTATGCATGAATAGATAAATACCGGAGAGAAAGTCAGAAAGACAAGGCTGCTCTTTTTCTTGCTAACAGCAATATATCCTACAGCAAATTGTCCGTCTCCTCTAAAAAGTTCCCCAGAACTACTGACCTGGCAGGCCTGCTAAAGAAGATTTTCCCCCCAAAGAATTAATGTGCCCTTTAAAATCAGGACATTAATGAAGGACGCAATTTATCTCTAAGAATTTATTACAATTCTTTATTGAGGATTAAAAATTAATTGCGTACAAAGTTCTATAAAGATGTTTGGTTTTGGAAAATGTTGCCTTTTACACCATCAAAGTGACAGGACTTTTTGTCAAAAGGACATGGCTTCCCTTCAGCATCATCAAGCAGTGCCACACGATAAAAAGGAAAAATACGATACAGGAGATATTGCAAAACCAGAATGCTACACGTCTGCAGCTCAGACAGGGCTCTGGATTAAAACCCCACCTCTCCTAGGAGGTACTGCATGGTCTCTATAGTGACATGATGTTCCCAAGACCTGCCATTTGCAACCCATATGCCAGTATCTCCATGGTCATAGCACTGACCCAGAAAGAGATTCAGAAACCCCTTGGTAAATCTTGTATTTTGAATTATGAGTTTTTATCTGAAATTTCATGCATGGAAAAACACAATTTCTGTGACGGACACAAGCAAACAGGAATATTTTTTATTCTGTGTAATACTGAGGAAGGTGTTTACTCTGTGAAAATATTTGGGGGAGTTTTATTCTCCTACCTGCAGAAAATATGGTCCAAAAATTATTTTTACACTCTAATACAGATTTTTAAAAAATAGGGAGAAGTCGTTAATTGATTAAAAGTTATGATTTTAAAGGTGTCTGCAATGGTTGGGATGTCTCATTCCCTTCAGCTGGGAAATAGGTAATCGCAACCTTTCCAATGGGCCTGGGGATCCAGCCTTCACCTCTCTGAAGAGGGACTTCAAACCCTTTCAGGAGCTTTCCTTGTCTTGCCTAGAGATTATAGCAAACAAATAAAAAAGCATCACGGTTTTGAGGAAGTAGGACAACGGTGGAAACAGGTAAACAAGAAACTTCTGCAAAATTAAACCACCTAGTTAGCTCCTGAAATACGTGTGTGGCAACTGAACCTATTTTTGAAAGTTTTGACCATGTTATCATTTACCCCAGAGGATTGACTCTTTTCAAACTTCTAATTAAGGCATGGAATAATTTTATGATCTAGATCATTTTTATATGAATTAGGAACAACGTAAGAGAAAAAAAACCCAGAGGTTAAATGACTTGACATGTCACACTGAGATAATGGCAAATTCTAGAAGGTGGTTGAGACATTCTGACTCCTTACCCCTTTGCATACATCTGGACCATGCAGCATCCTATGAGATGTCAATCTTTTATAGTTTTAATTTAAGTTATTTCTCATCCAGTTATGTTCTTTAATCTAGATTTAAAGATTAGGATTTCAAAATTATCATTGGAATACGAATGGCATTCATACCCAAACAGACTGGATTTTCTGTTAGAAAACAACGGCTGCAAGGCTAGGCTATCCTGCAGATCAAAGCAAAATAAAGGCCAAAACTTTTTTCCTTCATCTGTTTGAACTATAATTTAATATGAACACTTAATTTCTGAAATACAATGAACAACATATACTGCGACAGCAAATCCGTTCTTATTCATCAAAAAAAATTGCTGACACAAAAATACTGACAAAATGAAGACAAATAGTTGATGGAGGGATAAAACTTAATTTTTTCCATTTGCAGAGACCTCCATGTTGAGCAGTTTTCCACTGCATTAGCAGGTGCTCTGTCA